TGCGAGGTACTCAGCTCAGCATGTTAAAGTAGAATATTAGCTAAAAATGAATTCTCCCGTTTTCTATTATATAGTGACTGAAGTACTGATAGTGAATAGGAGCTGATGCTGTTTAAAATATGCTTGCTTGCGATGTATTGCAAAGCAATGTCCTTTGCTCTGATTTCGGCTGAACAAACAAATTGACGTACCATTTGGTAAATGAACTTTTGTTGTGTGTTTGCAACTAACGAATGCTGCAGCAGCCTTTTCCTCATCTTCTGATCCATCGGTATATATTATTGTATAATTTTCAAATTCAGTGAGGAGTTCATGGTAAGAGTTGTGAAAGATGGAAGGGTTTATCTCCGATTTTTTTTCTATCGTATTATGTGAAAATTACCCTTAGTGGCTGAAGTAGCCAGGGAGGTGTTTTGTAGACGGACATTTTTAGAATTTTTTAAAGATGAATTTGTGTGCTTTTAAGGAATTGTTATACTATAATAGCAAAGGTAGGAGTGAGTTTGGTCTATTGTCATATAATGTTTTATATTCGGGTTCAAAAACAGCCGAAAAAGCTGGATAAAGAGGGTTTGATCTGAGAGCATACTGTGTGGAAAGCATTTCTCTACGTTGTGATAAAGATGGTTGATCCGCTTCAATGAGTAGGCTATCAAACAGGGATGTTTTAAATTCTCCCAGAGCCAGTCTAATTCCATGATGATGAATTGGGTCAAGCAACTTTAGATAGTACTTCCTTGCTTCAGTCAATATATAATAGAAAACTGGAGAATCCATTGATAGCTAGTGTTCTACTTAAACATGCTGAGCTGAGTACCTCGCACAATGTAGTATACTGTTGGTTACCCAGCCATGTTGCAATTCAGGTAATGATGAAGCAGACAGCGCTACTAACATGGACCTATCAATAGAACCATCTGGTTTTAAAACACCATATTGTCGATATACAGAAGAAGGGCCTTACATCAGTATACCTGCCGTATTTGCAGATGGTTACTGAGACACAAAAATGTATCTTTATGACGGGGCGGGGGAACAGTGCACTTGCTAACAACCCAAAGCAGACTTGTCCAGTTCAGAATAAGCTCTATTCACATAAACCTGTGGAAGATGACTGAAATTTCAAATATGAATGAAAGAAAGAAAGAAAAAACATTATCTTTAAAGCATTTAATACACTTACAAACGGAATATAGTTGGCAAATTTTTAATTGTCAAATACCATCACCATGCAAACACGTGTAAACACAGATTCACATCCAGTCATTTTAAAAGATGCAAGAATTTCATGTCTTTAAAATGTATTGGACATTGCAATATAGTTTTAATTAAGTGCAGTCTTTGCTGCTATCATAGTTTGAAAATACAAGTGTCATTTGCGATCGTCTTTGCACTCATTTGCGACTGAATGATACTGTTGTTCAAACTTGACTATTGGATACTCTGAGTGAATTCTGGTTCCAATTGAGCTGTTTTTGCCGACCATAATGCTGGCATTATCATAAATGTATTTGATCTAGTGTGGCCACGTGATATGCTGATTCTATAGAAAAAAATATCTGTATATTAATAGTAGTAATACATTATCTACCACTATTTCATCGCTTTTATTTTCTGGGACTGTTGGTTCACAATCCAAGCATATTCCTTCCTATCGTTGGCTTTGGAGGGCCAGAATTAAAAAACAATTAATACTCCCAATATGTTTCCATTGTCGTAGTCAAGTTGTCGTACTCTTTTGTTTCTTTCCCTCTTGGACGTAATAGTACACATGCCAGTTTGTTAATCAAATTAACCTTCCTATTTGGTTTTCTCAGCATCTTTTGGGCCAATCATGTAGCATTTGATGCGTTTCTTTTGTTAATTTTGAAGGAGGAATTTGCCATGCTTATCCAATGCCCTTGTATACATTGCAATTCACTTCATAGTTCTTGTGATAGGGTAAATATTGTCTTTTAAGTGTTAATTTATTCCAAAAATGTTGCTCTAATCTTGCAACCAATATGGCTGCCACAGCAGCTAATTTGAAAATCTTGTCGCTCCAAGAAAATCTGATTTTGAATATTGGAAGTTCTTTAAGGACAGAATATATCAATATTTTGATGGACTCTTGCTAGATGGTTATACTAGAAAATTCCATATCTGAACTTTACATTTGCTATATTTCTGAATAATTCCAAAAACTTTTCATTATAAACTTTAATAGTCGTTAGTAGACTTATCTTACCATTGTGTTTATTGATGAAATTTAAAATGCAAACATGTATCATCGGTTTGAGGTTTGCTTTCTCTGTTTCTATAGACTGTTTCTCTTTATTATGCCTCGTTATATATTTTATGCCCTGCATACTCCAGAAGAAATTCTTTACTAAATGCCATTGTTGTAAAAAATTAATGTACTGTAAATATAAATGAAAGTGTACTTGAATTGCATTGTAGTTACTCAATTGATTAATGTTAATGAAGTTTGTGTTGTTTATTATCTTCTTTCTTTATGAATCATTTGGTTTCAGTTTTATTGCATAGAATGTATATGGTCATGGGGTATAAATGTATCTCCTCCCCCATTGAACGGGAAACTTTACATTTGTATCACCGTTACCAATTTATGTACCTTCAATAGCTTGGTTTTATATTGCTGGTCGATGCAAAATCGTTCACCACTTTTAAATAATGAAAACCTTTAATGTTTTGAATGGCGCTAAATAGCCTCATTCTGCTGGTGCGCCGTAAAAATTCAACCAACCAACCATTTCATCGGTTTGCTTTCAACTGTTTTGTTTCATATCGCTGGTCGATACGAAACCTTTTACCACTTATATATAATGAACGATATAACCTTTGGTATGGCGCTAAAGAGCCTGATTATGCTGGTGCGCCGTAAAAATTCAACCAACCAACCAACCATCTGTCCTTAGTAACATACACCATTTACATTCCCCGTTGATCGGGAAGCGTTATTTATTTATTGCTGTTTCCATTTCATCGGTTACTTTCAACTGTTTTGTTTTATATCTCTGGTCGATAACAAACCTTTCACTACTTTTAAATGATGAAAGATATGACCTTATATTATATTGTTTTAAATTTCTTAATAGCGCTGGTGAACAATAAAAATTCAATCCATTAACTAATAGATTGCATCTGACTATTAAGAATTGGTTATTTGATAGTTTGCACTTGTTACCAAATTTATTAAAATGAACCCAAATTTATAATTTGTCAGAATACAAACGTAATCGATGTGAAAGAAAGAGATTCATTATTGCACAACTTACTCTTGGAAAAGAATAAAGACAACTGAGTAATTCATATCACGCTTTATTTCAATATATTTCACTTGTTTTGAAACGAAAAAGGCAATTCAGGTTCAAAAGAAAAGCTCAGTGTCTTGAGCAGGAAAGACTATACTAATACAGCAATCATAGTTTCAATTCAAGTGCTAATTTATCCATTTGATTGGCATTAATTGGTTTATGGTGGTATTATGTCCCACAGAGCTAGTTCCATTTCTTGCCAGAATACTTTTGTAATTCTCACACCCTCTCGAGCAAGTATTGTATTGGTTCTGGCAGATTGCTCGCTAAAGATTTCATATCCCTAATGCTCATTCCGGTAGCTGAAAAAGAGTAAACATAATCTATTCATGTTAACAGACCATATTATATAATTGCATTACAAGCAAATATAATTAAAAATAAATAAACACCAGACTTGTCATCTCTGACAAGTATGTAAAGTATAAATATAGAAAATATATAATCTGAGAAATTGCTTTCCGCCTTCATTAAGAAGTTAGCATCCTTGAACAAAAGTTGTCACTCTCATAATCAACTATGAATGATTTCCGATGAATTTGAAATAGTGTCTTCTAGTTACCTTTATAGAATGAATTAACACATTCGATTGGAATTTACCTTTGTTTTCCACACTTAATATGCTTTTAATGAATCGTTGTAGATTTGGACGGAGAAATGATTTGATATTAGAGTTATGACTTTAACTTAACTGCAAAATATGTGGGGCTTTGTCCACAGCACACGCGTAATATCGGCCATATTTATACAGCATTTCAACATCGTGCTATCTGGCGTCATGCTGAATGTTGTTATCAGTGAACACGATCGATAAAATCAGCATCTTTTCTTTAACATTACTGTACAGTTTGATTATATTTTTATATCAAATCAACATTTGGTCAATCCTGAATATTTATTTCTTTTTAATCCAAACATAGCTTGGTAACAATTTTTGGTGGAATAAAACATACTCTGTAATATAGTGTATTGCCTCTATGTCGCATATCGGCAGCACCTGTCTAGAAACCATTGTGTTGATCACACATTAATTTTGCTCCCTAATCTATGTGGTGAAATAAATTGGAAACTACTTTGTTTCGTGTTTTTGTGCAGTCACCAAAATTGCAGCATTTTGTCATACCATTTGATTCAGTACTAAAATTTTAATACGGCCTCTATAAAAGCTGTTATATTATCCAAGATGAACAATAAATTAATTTCTACAGTGAATTTCGGATCGTAATGTAAAACGATTTATAAACTACGACAGTTATAGAATCGCATTAGCTCTTTTTGATTCAATAGTATGATGTCGGTATGGTCGTATATCAGTAGAATCTATTGATGACCTCCGACATCCATATTAAAATTATAATAGTAATGAAAATCACGCAGTGGAAACGTCTGTGAATAATTTTCACTCTTATATTTTAATGATGTGGTAAGGATTTTGTGGATGTTTCATTTTGGGATAGGATTGTTAATGTAGCTTTACAAAATTTGAGTCCTATCACTTTGATGTCTGCAGTGTGGCAGTTTAGAAAAATGTCTAGAACTGAGGCATCATGCAGCAGATATGTAGCATCATGTCCCATCCTGTGACATTATCCTGACACCAAGTCGACAAGTCCTAACACTAACCTCTACATGCAGTTTGCCAAGCGAGGCAACTATAATTAGCATTGTTATAAGTGTATGGTATGCCTCAACCGGGGTTCAAACCTGCGACTTCCTGCATCCGAGGCGGACGCTCTAACCTCTAAGCCATCGGAGCGATCTTCGTGCGTTAATAAGAAAATTGGTCACTCATAGAATGGACTATATATGACACAGCTGGCAGCCAAATTAATTCGTCAAATACATTTGTATCATTTGCTCGACCTGCCATATATTGGACTTATTTTGTATGCACCACACTACCACTTCTGTACAGGATTGTCATTAAAACCTAGGATGTACATGCTTAATATATCTGCCCTTACTAACAGATAAACAGGATGGTCTATTGAACGAGTTATGTGATTGTTATAGAAAGTTTGTTGTACAGCTTAGGCTGAATTATGATAAACGACATCTTTAAATAAATATTTAAAGCTCAACAAACTTAAGTCATTCAGATGTAACTTACACAGTTAAGAAATTTAATATGGATCCTGTACATATTCTTTCGTAGTGATTTATAGCAAGATTGACGAATATGTTGTCTTTTCTTATCAATTACATATTCAGTATTCACTGCATTGTGACTTATCTGGGACATATTTAAATGCGCCATGTTCCCTACATGATGTGAGTTAAGGAATGCTTAATAAGTTATCTTAATAATATAATCTTCCCATGAACACTGTCAACCTATATATATATATATATATATATATATATATATATATATATATATATATATATATATATATATATATATATATATATAGACATATATATATATATATATATATATATATATATATATATATATATATATATATATATATATATATATATATATATACAGAGAGAGAGAGAGAGAGAGAGAGAGAGAGAGAGAGAGAGAGAGAGAGAGAGAGAGAGAGAGAGAGAGAGAGAGATGTATTGGGTTCCAAGGGTTGTTATCGCCGGTTTCGGTTGTGGTAGATAAGCAACCACTTCCCCTAGAAATCCCCCAATGGCTTGCGTCTGTGGTAGCCTCTGAAAACCAAATCCAGCTCCAGGCCTTCACGGGTGGCTTAACTACTAAGCCCGGCGGAACCTGTTTAAACTAACTGGAGAAGGGATGGCAGGCGAGTTTCTGGCGCCTCAAAATCAGATGTTTCGGGCAGATGGGGCCCGTTAACCTTGGGTGGTAGCCCGTCTAGGAGAAGGTAAACTCTGATTTCAAACCTTCGCTGACTTGCGACTATACCCCTACATGGGAAAGGCTAAGGGAGTAAACCACAACAGAAAATCCGGAGACGGAGTCCCTAAAGCGACTTGTCACTGCATTTAGTGACATCTCGGCAACTCCTGCGACGCCGCTGGTGCCATGACGTATCGGCTTGTCCTTTCCCTTGGATCCATCAGCTGCGTGGAGAGGGGGAGTCAGCTGATTCTCCATATAACCTTGCCCAGGCTTGCGCCCTGGAGAGGACACTCCAGCTTCGCTTCACAGCGTTGACACAACACGGGAAGCAACAGTTACCGGTTATAAGTCACCACTCGATTGGCGTAGAGTTAGACGCCAGGGGTTGCTTCCGACGGTGGGAGAGACCAACAGACAGCTATAGCCCGCCTCAACCTGGGCAGCCCCCAGCCAATAAGGTGCCATCCCGCTACAGCTCGCCTGCCTTGCTGAGTGCCCAGGGCTTAAGATACGTGAGTACCTGACAAGCGGGCTGCAACTACAGCACCAAGAAAAAACAAAAGAAAAACAAGGAAATCAACACTCCTCAAGCTAGGTACCTGGAACGTCCGGACTATGCTCACAGGACTTTCAGATGATCTCCAGGCAATCAGTGATGTTCGAAAGACTAAAGTCATCAACGACGAACTCGCAAGACTCCGTGTCAATATCGCCTCACTTCAAGAGACACGGCTGCTAGATTCTGGGTCCCTCAGAGAAAAGAACTACATGTTCTTCTGGCAAGGAAAGAGCTCAGATGAAGTTAGGGAGTATGGTGTTGGTTTTGCTGTCAAAAACTCTCTGCTGGCTATGATACAACACTACCAACAAGGAAACGAAAGACTGCTATCTCTTCGCCTCCACACCACAACCGGGCTAGTTAATCTCATCAGTGTTTACGCTCCCACACTCAGTTCCACCACAGATACCAAGGATGCGTTTTACAACGAGCTCGACTTGCTCATCGACAATATTCCGAAGGAAGAGAACTTGATATTACTGGGCGACGTCAACGCTAGGGTGGGTGCCGATCACGACTCCTGGCCTTTGTGTTTCGGCAAGTTTGGCATTGGGAAGATGAATGAACACGGGCAACGTCTACTTGAAATGTGCTCGTTCCACAACCTCAGCATCACCAATTCATTTTTTCAGACAAAACCACTGCACAAAGTGTCTTTGAGGCATCCCCGATCCAAACACTGGCCTCAGTTGGACTTGATTATCACAAGACTTTTAGCCATGAAGGTGTGCAGCTTACTCGTACATTCCACAGCGCTGACTGAGACACCGATCACTCTCTAATCTGCTGTACATTTAAGTTTCAACCAAAGAAGATCCACCACTCTAGGCAAGTGGGTAAACCACACATTGATGTGAGCAAGACATCATATCCAGACAAGGCTGAATAATTCACTTACGCCCTCTCCAAGGCGTTCAGTTCAGAACCTCCCTACGGCAGTGCCAAAGAGAGATGGGTCAACATCACTGTGTACAGTGCAGCCACATGAATCTTTGGTAAGAATCAGACAAAGAACAATGACTGGTTTGACGCCAATTCCGCCATACTCATGCCAGCAATAGAAGAGCGTCGCAGTGCCAACCGGGAATTCAAGCGTTCTCCCTGCGTGAGGACACTACATGCATATAGGTCTACCAGATGCAAAGTGCAGAGGTTAGCACGGCAATGCGCTAATGAATACTAAATTCTACTCTGTCATGGCATTCAGTCAGCAGTAGACAACGGAAACATCAGAGGCATGTATAATGGCATAAAGAAGGCAATGGGTCCAACGAAGAAAGTGATAGCTCCACTGAAGTCTTCTGCAGGAGATATCATTCATGACAAGGGCAAATAGGTGGAGCGCTGGGTGGAGAACTACTCCGAGCTGTATTCCAGAGAAAATAACGTGACCAACAATGCCCTCAACGCCATTGAAAACCTCCCCTGTTTGACCAAACTGGATGAGAAACCTACTGAGACAGAACTAAATCTGGCATTAGAGAAACTGACCACAGGTAAAGCCCCAGGAAAGGATGGCATCCCAGCAGAAGTCATCAAATGTGGCGGCAGTGTGCTGTTCACACACCTTTATGATCTTCTCTGCCAGTGCTGGGATGAAGGTGCAGTGCCTCAGGACATGATAGATGCCAGCATCATAACCCTATATAAGAACAAGGGCGACCGAAAAGGCTGCAACAACTACAGGGGCATATCACTTCTCAGCATCGTGGGTAAAGTCTTCGCTAGAGTCATCCTGTACAGACTGCAGACGCTTGCCGACAGAGTGTATCCAGAGTCTCAGTGTGGGTTCCGCGCAGAGAAGTCCACAATCGACATGATCTTCTCCATCAGGTAACTGCAGGAGAAATGCAGGGAACAACACAGACCCCTCTTCCTGGCTTTTATAGACCTCACCAAAGCATTCAATCTGGTCAGCAGAGACGGACTCTTCAAAATCCTGACGAAGATTGGATGCCCTCCAAAGCTGTTAAGCATGGTCCAGTTCTTCCATAAAGACATGAAAGGCACAGTGCAGTATGATGGCTCATCGTCCGAACCATTCAACATCCACAGCGGAGTGAAGCAAGGCTGTGTCCTTGCCCCCACGCTATTTGGCATCTTCTTCGCTGTCCTGCTTAAGTACGCCTTTGGGACGTCCACAGAAGGGATCTACCTGCACACGCGTTCAGACGGCAGACTGTTCAACCTGGCACGACTGAAGGAAATGAGCAAGGTAAGGAAAGCAACCATTAGGGACATGCTCTTTGCAGATGATGCTGCTATAGTCACTCACACAGAAGCTGAACTACAACGCCTGATGGACCGCTTTGCTAAAGCATGTGATGAGTTCGGGCTGACCATCAGCCTAAAGAAAACCAACGTGATGGCTCAGGACGCAGACCCTCACAGCATAACCATTAACTACTACAAACTAGATGTAGTCAGTGAGTTCACTTACCTTGGCTCTACCATCATCAACAACCTCTCACTCGATGCCGAGCTCAACAAGCGGATTGGAAAGGCGTCAACAACTCTCGCTAGATTGTCGAAGTGAGTGTGGAACAACAACAAGCTGACACTAAACACTAAGATCACCGTGTACCGTGCCTGCGTCCTTAGCACTCTTATGTATGCCAGCGAAACTTGGACCCTGTTTTGCTTCTCAGGAGAAACGACTAAGCGCCTTTCACATGCGTTGTCTCCGTCGCATACTTGGGATAACTTGGAGCGATCGTGTGACAAACAACGAGGTGCTTCAACAGGCCAAAATTCCCAGCATAGTCACAGTCCTCCGCCAACGTCGCATCAGATGGCTGGGCCATGTGCATCGAATGGATGATGGACGGATCCCCAAAGACCTTCTCTACTCTAAGCTTGCCTCAGGCAGAAAATCAATAGGACGGCCACATCTTCGCTTCAATGATGTCTGCAAGCAGGATATGAAAGCTCTTGGAATAGAGGTCAACACCTGGGAAGAGCTTGCCCTCGACAAGTCCAGCTGGCGACATGCTCTGTACACAGGTCTGAAAGCCAGCGAGGAAAAGTTACGACAGCTCGCTGATGAGAAAAGATCTCAGAGGAAGAGGATGCAGTTCCAAACAAGACCTAATTCATACTTCAAGTGTAGCAACTGCAGCAAGGGTTGCCACTCCCGTGTGGGACTTTATAGTCATAGAAGACGCTGCACAGAAACAAACTAGGAGTCCTTTCATGGGCGCATTTCCATCGTCTCTCGAGACTTACGGAAGCCAACCATATATATATATATATATATATATATATATATATATATATATATATATATATATATATATACATATAAATATAGATATATAAAAATATATATAAATATATATATATATATATATATATATATATATATATATATATATATATA